GTCCACCCCCGTATGAACCGCCGCCAAGTTATGATCAAATTGTTATTAAAGTCTAATTAAATGATTACAAAATAGTAATTAAAAAACTTTTTTCCCATTTATGGAGTGCTTTCTCACAGTTTTATGACTTGCGATGACTTTTGGTACAAATATTTTAAGCATTCAATCATTTCATTAATATTTTCCAAATGTTTGTGATAGTAATCAATATTAATGTATTTTCCCGATAATTAAAGTCACACTTCATGTGTAATTGTATGACTAATACCTGAATTATTTTCATTAATAAATATCATACGAAAATGATTTAATTGTGCATAATGATTTATTATATTTTAGGGTAACATTGCGTACATTATTGAGATTGCGTTTAGTATTTAGTTTTTAAAAACGTATGACAATTAATATCATTATCGTAAACGTAATGATTTAATAGCTATTATAAAAATGTTATCACAAAATAAAAGTGTTTTCCAAACGGTTTTAAAAATCAAAGTTTAATCACACATTAAAAATAATATTTGTTAAACAAACTCATCTAGTAATTCACAGCATGTTTTCAAAACACATTAATACCGAAATGCATAACAAATATAATAAAAATAGAGTTTAAAAACATTTACCAAAAACTTATTTGTCATACAATTAAAAGCCATAAAAAGTGTTATAAAAATATATTATCACCAAAAATACGGCAATAAATGTTTTAATTATAGCTTAATTGCATAATAATTGAATGTCAGACATAAGGTGGTGGTGCTGTTAGTGGGAAAGGCATTTCTGAACAGACATTAGACGGTAATGGACTCCAAGTATTTGTTAATAACTCTATTCCGATGGACAGTATTTTTTCTATCGCTAATCATATCGTGTTTATCGATAGTATTGATTGCCATTAGCGAAGAGGTAGCCTCCGATCATATCGACCACTTGGATGATAAGGTACTGTTCCCCAGGGTTTGGCTATTGATTTGGCATTAAGTGGAAAATATTAATTAGTATTTATTTTATTATATTATAAAAAATTGCAAACAATTATTGCATAGTTTAAAAATTAAATGCATAATTTAGTTAGTAAGCTATATTAAATTAATTTTTTGTTTTAATTTAATAAACATTATTGTTATTTTAAAAATGAACAAGTTGCTATAATAATCAATAGTGTATGTTCCAATTAAACGTTGTATTGTAAAACCTTACTTAATTTAATTACTCAAAAATGGCAAGATTTAAAATGCGTAAATATAAAAATATATGACTACTATAACAATTATAAGTTTTGTAAACTAATATTATAATAAACTAACATAAATAATTGCATTTTTATTTATCATAGCTAACGCTACGGCTAATCCTAATCTCAATCGCTATATTGGGCATTATATTTGCGATTATTGGCTTATTCGGGTCATATTACCAAAACTACGCGACCACCTTGCTACTATCCGTACTGAACACGTTCAACAGCTTCTACTGTTTCGGTGCGTCCACTCACTACCAAACAGTGTTCATACTATGGGTGTTCACTATAATCAATATTGTGGTCACATTTTCGGGCTACCTGTACACCATACTACTGTGCCTACAGATAGGCACTCACCCCATAAATATAGAGCATATGGGTCGGACACTGTCTATGGACAGCACCGGTAGGTTGGATGAGCCGTTTCGAGAGAAGTCTGTTAGTAATCCTCCCCCTTATGAAGATCCCCCACATTATAGTCAATTGAATATTAATAAGTTTTGCCGACAAATCAATTTTCAATGATTTATTTATTTAAAATTATTATAAAGAACGTGTTTTTCTATGAATGTTATTTGGAATAAAATGTCCAAGTTACTTTATTTTATAATATTGTAGTTGATATTATATCAATAATTTGATATAGCTCATTTGTTCATCATAATTATTATGCATAACATTATTAGTAAATTATTTAACATTGAAATAGATGATAAATGTGAATAAACATGCAATTACAATTTTATTTGATTAGTGTCGAGAAAATAGTTTAACTTTGAAATTTATGACGAAAAAAAGCAATAAAAATAAATTATAAGCCGGGTGTGTTGTAATTATATAAGTTTTAGCGATTAAATTTTAATATTTAATTATATATTTGTAATTATTTAATTAAAATATAAAAATGTTGACAATATTTTATATTAAAATTTATTGATATTTTGAAAGTTCATATTAATTATAATTCATGTTGTAGTATTTATTTTATTATGCTATAATAAATTGCATTATTAAAAAATTAAGTGCACTACTTAATTAGCTTAATTAAATTAATAGTGTTATTTTAAACATGAACATATTGCTATAATAATTAGACTATGTGTTATAAAAACTAGATTAAAGTAAATATTTCAAAAGTACCAAGATTTTAAATAATTATTTCTAAAAATCAAACCACCTACTTGTGTAAAGTTTAATTTGTTAAAAATATTGTAATTTTATTCAATGATTATAATAAAATGAATTATATAATATTACTTTGTAATTATATGATCTATTATATTATATGTACAGCAATCATAAAATTAATTTCTAGGACAATTAATGTTGACAATTTTTAATCAATTATACTTATACTGTAGTAATTATTGTCTATTCAACCTGACATTTATTAATGATAATTTTTCATTATAAAA